GTGTAGTGCATTGCCTCTTTTGTAGCCTTGCATATCCTATGTTTTAGCCTTGTGTCCTAGCTTGTGTTGGTTAGCTTTGAGCTTGGTTTTGGTCGTGTTTGGACCAGCCCTAGGACTATTTTAGGTCCCATTGGCCCTTTGGGGCTTGCCTTGTATGGCCATGGCTTAAGTCCCTTTGCTTACTTTGAGCTTTGAGCATCATAACATGCTATGCTTGCATTGTTGAGTTGATTTGGCATCAATTTGCATGAAATTTCAGAGCTTACCTCATCATCATATATCCATGTTTGTTGCTCCTTAAGTATGCTTAAGAGTTGTCCTCTTTGTGCCTTAATACTTGGGCCACTTGGCATACATGTTTGCCTTGCCATTTGATGTTTTTCATGCCATCAATTCATCACTTTTGGCCACTGATTTGGGCTTAGTTGAGAGCTGCCCACATTAGTTTAAGTCCATCCCTTTGCATGTTGTCGCATGCCTGCCTTGCATATTGTCGTATGCTTGCTCCATCTTTGCATGTTGTCGCATGCTGGCCTCCATTACATGTTGTTGCATGTCCATGTTACATTTTGTCATGTTGTCCAAGATTGTTGTCTCACATCATGCTTATATGCTTGTTGCATGCTTGAGTTAGTTACATGCTTGCCCACTTAAGTCTCATTGTATGCTTGCCATGCTTATGTGTTGCATCGTTGTTTGGATTAAGTGCTAATCTAAGCATGAGAAACGATGGGTGTTTCATACTCTGAGTGATGGAACGTGTCTCAATTCTCAGTCGCCGAAGCTCTTGATGATTCATGATAGAGTTCTAGGCTTTACTTGTTGTATTTGTGCATTCATTTTCATATTAATTTGCACAAGTCGGATCTTTGGCCATCATGCATCGAGATACGTGATTGATGGTCGTGGATCCGACTAAGCCTCTCCCTTAATGTTTTGAGGTGATATGGGGTGGCATAGTGCCTACATACCCTTGGGAGACCCTCAATTTTCTCTATTTTGTGCTTTGTTGCAGCTTGGTGTCACAACACACCAGTGGCCGGCAGTGCACCACTAATGGCTGGCAGTGTCACGTACTTGGCCGGCAGTGCCCTGTTGTTGGCTGGCAGATCTCCCTCCATGGCCGGCAAGCCACTGGTGAACTCTCCAGCAGTGTTTTGGTAAGTTTCAGCAACAAACACTGGAAGACACCCTGCAAACAGAGCCTCTAAAGAGCAACCGGAAGGTGTTTCGAGGCGAAGAACCGAAGCGAGCATGCATACCTCCCTCTTCTCCAAACAGAGCTGGAATAGCATTCATTTACTGCTTACTTGTTAGTTAGTAGTTGTGTAATAATTAGTTGTAGCTAGTTATTAATTCAGTTTTGTAATAATTAATTAGCTCGTGAGTTAGTTAATTAGGCGGCTTGTATTATTTATTCGGACCCTTTGAGCGAGGGCACAATTGTAATAAGTGTGCGTGCGTGTAATGCATGTCTTCCAACCCCACTTTTTTCTCCCTTTTACTTACCTACTTTTGATGGTTAGTATTAGGGCATATTTCAATTAGCATACTTATGATAGCATGTTTGCATTCATTCATCTGTTTTGCATGCACTGGCTCGGCGCATCATACTAACTGCATTGTATTTCAATTCCAAGTTGAATACGTGTTAGTTGTAACATCTCATATGCCATTCTTAGGATAGCCGAGCCTATTTGTTTGGTTTACATTTCAGCATGTACTTGGTCATCATTTGGCATGTTATGACCCTATCCATAGTTGGTTTAATCACTATCTTAGTTGCATTTTGTATGTGTTGCATTAGGCATTCTTGACATAGCTAGGATCATGCATTGATTCATAACATAGCTTTTGTTTTGGCTCGGAGTACTCGGTAAGTGTTTATGCTTTAGCATCCTTGCATGTGTGTGAGTGACTGCCATGATAGCATGCTTACCATGAGGCTAACTGCTTATGTGATATACCTGCCTGAATGCCTGTGGGTGAAGGTTGGATTATCTGAATTGGAATAATGCATTGACTGTGAGTTTTAAGCCCACTTGAGAGTGGCAAACCATTACGTTTTATAAGCCCACCCGAGGGTGGCAAATCCACGTCTTAGCCTACTTGCGGGTAACACCATCAAACCATTTTCAAAATAAACAAACATGAGATGTGTTGTTCCAATTCATGCAATCCAGTCTATACTTGTATGTTGTGCACATCATATAGTAAATCTAGGCTAATAACCGGAATAAAAACGCATAACGTTTTCAAAACTAGATATCATGGTTAGTAGAGGCCGATCTTTGATCGGGCGAGCGGGGGTGCTCATAACTGACCTTCCCAATCGTACCTAAGTTCCCGAGCCGAGGCAACTCTGGTGATGACGGACACGTGGCCTTAGGCACGAGTCAGGGTTTCCTAAATTTCTCCCAAAATAAAATATTTAGGTGGCGACTCTGTATCTGGCAAAGCAGTCCATGTTTGACACTACTTTCAAAAAAATCTGTTTTCAAAACGATTTGCCGGATTTGGACTCTTTGACGATTCATCGGTCTTGCATTGTACTCTGCGAGATTAGATACAAAACCGTGACTTTGAGTCCTAAACTATAGTGAGCCTCAAACGAACAAAACCGGGGAGGGGGGATTTCCCTCCCGGGACGTTCGGGGACGTCTACAAACATACACGTCCTGAGAAAAAACTCGCCCAGGGCTGCGCGTCACATGTCCTGAGATAAAAAGAAAACCGCTCAGGGCCATGTTTCACACGTCAACCCACCCAGGGCCGCGTTTCACGCGTCCTGAGAACCAGCCGCTCGGGGCCGTGTTTCACACGTCCCGAGATGAAACCCGCCAAGGCCGCGTGTCACGTGTCCTGAGATAAAAAGAAAATCGCTCAGGGTTGTGTTTCGCATGTCTCGAGATAAAACCCGCTTAGGGCCGCGTTTCACCCATCCTGAGAACCAACCGCTCGGGGCAGTCCTTCGCACGTCCTGAGAAACAGAAGAGTTTTGTACGAAAGATGCACGAAGCTAAACAAGTGCGATAGATGTACTAAATAAAGGTGCAAGTTCTCCTACCGAGATACAAATGATTTAGTTTATTTTAGTTTTACTATATATATAGAGAGAAATATTCTCACTAAAATTATCTTGAATTAGTCTCGAAAGGAGTCGTAAATGGTCATTTTCCCCATCCTTGTTCCGCTCCGCACAAGTTTTCCCGGCCTTGATGAGGAAGTGGGGCGGGAACATATTTTTCTTTCCCCATCATGTTTTACCCGACTCCCGCCTCAATTATATTCATTAAATATATTTATATGTATATAATATATATAATTTAATTTTTTTCATTATAATAAAATAGGAGACTTATTTATAAGTCTTTTTTTAGACATTTATGGTAGGTTAAGTCCTATGTAATTTCTTATAGAATCTCAAGTCCTATTTAGATAGGAATGTATTTCACAAGATCCTACATAAACGTAACGTGACGTGACATTTACATAAACATAACATAACGCGACACCTACATAAACGTAACGTAACGTGACACCCATGTAAACGCAACGTAACGTAACATGACACCTACATAAACGTAACGTAACGTGTCACGTTACGTTTCGCAAACTAAATGAGTTTTTGTTTTTTTTAAATTGAATGTGAAAATGTTGCTGGTTTATGTTGGTATCACGTTACGTTTCATATAAATATGATCTATGGCAACATTACGTTTATGATCATATATAAATATGATCATAGGTGTCACGTTACGTTTATCTAGGTGTCACGTTACGTTACGTTTGTGTAGAGATGATCTATAGTAACATGCAAGGAAATTGCATATTACCATAGATCATAGGTGTCACGTTACGTTTATATAGGTGTCACGTTACATATAGGTGTCATGTTACGTTTATGTAGGTGTTACGTTGCGTTACATTTATATAGATATGATCTATGGTAACATTCAATTTCCTATATATGGTTTTACTATTATTTATGATATTAACAACTAATATTGAGGGTAAATGTGTCAACTAACTTCCTACAGGACTTATAAATAATTTTTTAATAGGATCATATGTAGCATAATTCTCCCTAATAGGACTTATAAATAATTTTTTCTAATAAAATTAAAACACTAAGGCCAAGTTTGACAAGTTGAAAAAAAGTCAAAAAGTTATTCAAAAAGTACGGCTGCACAACTCCCAATCCTAATTTTTCCTTACATACTAATTTATACAATTTTTTAATACATATTTTTTCATAAAAAGTCAAAAAGTTAACCTAAACATTCATATTTTTTCCCTCAACTTTTTAATTTGAAAATTCTTTTTTAAGTGTTTGTATCCCAATTAGTTTATAAAATATTCTTTTATTCCAATAAGTCTTATTATTTAAACATTTGATCTACTAAATCTTAATTTTCATGTTTAAACTATCCTATGAACATTTTTACCCTTACAAATATTTTTTGAACGGTTAGTAATTTGGTGATGTGAACATTTATATTTTACAAAGTGAAAATTTACATTGACGTGTGAATGTTCACATTGACAGTATGAATATTCACATTGATGGTCTGGATATTCACATTGACGATATAAACATTCACATCATGGAACATTTACACTGTAAATGTAAACATTATTAGGAATATTCTGATAATTATGTCACTCATAAGACTTATTAAAATATAAAACAATAATATAAATTAAATAAAACATAAATAGATGAAAAAAGATTTATAAAAAGTGTCCCATCATTATGCGTAATATCCCATATTATTTATAATTGTTTTAAAAGAAAATAAGTGATGGGCCGTAAATGAGGAGCAAGGATCCTCTAGAGTGATTTTTTCCTAAAGTTCTCTAGAGTGTTACATTGTGTGGTTGAGATTTACTGGCAAGTCACATCAATTTTTCTGATGTGACTTGTCAATAAATCTCAACCACACAATGTAGCACTCTAGGAAACTTTAGGAAAATTTTACTCTAGAGGATCCTTGGTGGTAAATGAGATGTGCTCAGGAGAGCAGGTAAATCCAGAGTACGATTCAAGAGTACAAATAATTGAAACGAAAAAGAAAAAAAAATAAAATAAAATTTAAAACGATGAACTTTATGAAGACGCTACTAGTGGTATACATTGGGAATGAATTTTCAGGGCTTCCATGGCGGGGGCGGCGGTGGGCTCATGGGGTACAGTGGTGGAACTGCTGAAAACATGGTGTTCTTGTCAATGCCATAGCCACCAGAGGCAGTGAGGGAGACAAGTGCAGCGACCAAACCGGCATTACCAGCCATTGTAGGCTGTGTGTAGCTGAAATTGGTGCGGATATCCTGGAATCTGTCGAAGCGGTCAGGGCCTCCAACCATGGCTCCTGTAATGGTGTTAGGATTGGGGTTGCGGGAGTCACGCCACTTCCAGCCACCTGTGCAAGAGTATTTGTTCTTGTCATGAGGTATGGATGCCCCACGGTGATTCACATGTTTCGGGTACTTGTTCCCATACCCCACCACGTAGCTCATGTTCATGGGATTCGCACCTAGAATATAATCAATCTGTTCATACAATAACACAACACAATTCAATTCAATTACTCATTTAATAAGATGATGACTATCATCTTAAGAAAGAAAGAAAGAAAGAAAGAAAGAAATAGGGGAAGGGAGCCAAACTAATTAACCTGGGAGGTTGCAAATGTGCGGAGAATATCCAAGGTGATAAAAGAGGTTCCACAATACCATCCTGGAACGCCAGTTGCATTCATATAATCAACATATAGTGATGCCAAGAAGGCTGCATTCGCCACGTACTGTAGAGGCTGTCCTCCCCCATGGTTCAGTTGGATCAGTCCTCCTGCATGCATGCAATTAACAATAATAATAATATTATTATTATATTTGAAAAAAGTCTTTCTAAATAAGAAGTTTTAATATATGTATATATATATATAGTATTAATTTGAAGAAAATATATACATGTACGTACCTCGAGTCCAGTTGAAGACATGATATGTTTGAAGATAAGAACACATGGTAAGGCTGGTGACGTTCTGATAGCTGCGGAGCATGTCCTCATAAGGGTAGCCTGGGTTTATGAATATCCTGAGCCTGGTGAGCAACAGCATGGCCGCGGGTAGTTTGTTGTCCCAACTCAGCACGCTCAAGTCAGGAATCATGAAGAATGCCTTGGAGTTCTGAGGCAAGCCCGGGTTGGTTGCCAGAGAAACATAGCTGTTATTGCCGGTGGCGTAATACAACCATGCTGCACCCCACATGTACTCATCAAAGTATCCCGTGGAGTTGTAGTAAGGATCTATGTACAGGTTCCCTCGGGAATAGGGAGTCCGCTTCCCCCCGTCCCTCGCAAAGGCAAACACGGTTGCCGCACCTTTCACCAGCTTGCTCGAGTAGCTGTTGTCATCCCTAAACACTATGGAGGCGGCTGCAAGAGCAGCAGCCATTTCGCCGCTGAGGTCAGGACCTGAAACTGCAGTTTGGACAGGGCGAGGATAGTCCATGTCTTCAGGCCTCTCCCAGCAGTAATGGTCATCAGGGGTGGTGGTAGAACCATTTCGAGAACCCCCAACCTGGCTATAAATCTTGTCAATTTTGGAGGCGGAGGAGTTGAAGGTAAGGAGTAAGTAATCGGTGCCCCATTTGATGAGGTCTCTGGTGTGATCGTACTCGCCAATGGCTCGGTACTTGTGCTCGTATTCAATGACACTCCAACTCAACATTGTCATAGCAAATGACATAGGAAAATGGTACTTGGTATTGTCTCCACCGTCGTAGTAGCCTCCCACCAGTCCTCCTTTAACGTCACTTAATGTGGATCCATCCTGCAGCCCGGAGTTCCCTCTCCATGATATTCCATTGTTCTTTGGCAATCTCCCAGCTGCCAATCCATTGCCCAGTCACATTCCCAAATAACTAAACTATTATTATATATTAATTAAATACTTTTTAAACTATTAGGATTAATTATGTTGTTAATATTTTATTGTAATTTAATTATGTGTGGGGGTGCATCTCATATTGCTTTGTGAGAATATTATATTCCACCTTAGAAGTTGATTAACTCCTAAGTAGCACAAGATTTTTCTTAGGGAAGAAACAAAACCATGAGAATAGGATGCACCTACAATGTCTATTTTCCTCCTTTAACCTTTCTCTCATTTTTTCTTTTTATTATTTCTTTTTTGCTTCCCCTACTATATAGCAAAATACCACAAGCCTTTCTTTTGTGCATGGTTGGTTACGTTACATCCTCCAAAGTCAACCTCTATGTTTCTGTTTTGATTTTTATTTCTGTGGGGCACAACATGAATTATATTAAATTGACCAATTCTGAGTGTTGTTGTGATGTGATGTTGATTCGAAACAAGGCGGCACCAAGTTAGTCGCACGTCAAGATTTTAATGTTGAAAAGAAAAAGAGAGAAAAGGTGCGAAATTAGAAAGGAATTTAAAAAGAAAAAGGGAGAAAGGATGTGAAATTATATAAAATATAAGTATATTTTATTCATATTTTACTTACATGTTTTTTTTTAAAATTTTTAAAATCACTTCTCAAATCCTTCCACTAAACTCAACATAAAAATGTCTTTTTTTCTAACATTAACATTCTTACATACATACATACATACCTACCTCAGGTTTTGGTGGCCTTTACCTGTAGATTAGATACAAAAATGCTTCGGAGCTCGAAAATGTCGAGACTCGATTGGCCCGAACTGAAAACGACGTCGTTTTTAATTTTTTTTTTCTTTTCTCTCCTCTCTTTTATCTGTGAAACAGAGAGAGGAAGAGAGAGAGAGAAGAGGAAGGGAGAAGAAAGGAAGAGAGAAGCGCCATCACCGACGCCACCATCGGCCATCCACGCCATCACTGGCCATCCTCTATACACAGATCTATTAATCTGTATCTCTCTCTATCTCTCTTTGTTCTGTGTATTGATTTTTGGTTTGATTTTTTATTTGATTTTTGGGTTTGATTTGTTTTGATTTGTGGGTTGATTTTTGTTTTGATTTTTGGGTTTGATTTGTTTTGATTTGTGAAATTTTTGGGGTTGATTTGTATTGGGTTTGATTTTTTATGTTTGATTTTTTTTTTTTGATTTTTCCTCTCCTCTCTTTTATTGATTCTGTGGAAGAAGATATATATATATATATATGTAGGTCATCAGAGGTTGATTCTGCAGGTCAACAAAAATATTTGATTCTGCGTTCAAAAATATGTAGGTCATTGTAATCATCAGAGTTTCAATAAAAAATATTCACTAAAATATACCAAACCAAACAATTGCGTTCAGAATATCCTTCCTCTTCTCTCTCTCTCTCTTTTTTTTTTTTTTTTGATTTTGTGAAAGAAGAAAAGAAAAGAAAAAAAAATGAGGAAGAATAGATACAGACAAAAGGAAGAAATCATTTTGGCACCTCGAGTCATTCGAGCCTCGGAAGATTCAGGCTACCTAGCGGGACTGGATTAGATATTACTATTTAATAATTTAATAACACGTGCCATGACATCTACTCTCTCTCTCTCTCAATTTTCTCTCTCAATTTTCTAAAACCACTGAATTAGAAAGGAATTTAAAAAGAAAAAGAGAGAGAGCAAAATTAAATAAAATATAAGTATATTTTATTCATATTTTACTTATAATTTTTTTATTTATTTTTTAAATCACTTCTCAAATCCTTCTACTAAACTCAACATAAAAATGACTTTTTTTCAACATTAACATCCTTACATACATACCTACCTCAGGTTTTGGTGGCCTATACCTGTTAGATTAGATATAACTATTTAATAATTTAATAACGCATGCCATGACATCTAGTCTCTCTCTCTCTCTCTCTCTCTCAATTTTCTAAAACTAAAACCACCGAATGACTCCGGCTTTTTATTTATTTATTTATTTATGTGTTTCCAAGTGTGCTGTTAAGTTGGCCGATTGAAAATTTCAGTCCAACCACTTAAATTTGACATTGGCGTTCTATTAATAATAATAATAATAATAATAATAATAATAATTCTCTAATCACCTCCAAAATCTCAACTTGTTTAGTTTTACTTTCTAGAAAATTAATTTTTTTATTTTTTTTGTGGTTTTTTTTTTTGTTTTTACTGAATTTTTTTAAAAATATTTTAGACAATTTTTTAATTTTTAAATACACCTAACATAAATACACTTAAAAGGTACAATATTTGTGAAAAAAATCTTTAAAAAATTTACTAATATCAAAAATATAAAAAATACGAAAATTTAGTATATTTTTTTAATTTTTATGTATTTATTAATTTTTAAATATTTTTTTTATAAATATTTTATTTTTATATATATGTAAGTAAGGTGTATCTAAAAAAGTAAAAAAAAAAATTGTTTAAAATTTAAAAAATATTCACTAAAATAAAAATAAAAAAAATATGAAAAATAAAAAAATTCAATTTTCAAAAAATTAAATCCAAACATAGTGAATATTTTTTACCCATACATATAACCATACAAT